GATTCTGACACACCCTAAAATCATGGCGTGTTGTCGGGTACGGAAGAGACATTGTTACGGACTTTACCTCAGGTCGGCTCGACACTGTAGGTCCTACCCTTACTGCCGACCTGAGTGTCTTGAAGTCAATTTCTACATTTCGTCCGCGCGTTCGCCCAACTCATTTTTCCGATCATGACACGTGGCAGGCCAGGATTCGCCTCCAACAAACTTTAAATTTATTCTTCAAAAAATGACTATACACCAATTTTATCATTGCAAAATTAATTTTTATTTGTTACCAATAATGTTCACCTTTCCTATCCTCGTCTCCGTGAATTCCCCTTAAAATTTTGTTGGGATCAAAGTGGAAAAAATTTCTTATTAAATAAAAATTGTCATTTTTTTTTGGAGAATTTGTGGGAAATTTTTCTTTGTTTATTTTTTATTTTTTAAAATTATTTATCAATTAAATATTTTAATTCTAAAGAAACATCTAATCAATTACTTAATTTTTAACATAAAACATCATTTACATGTCTAATCCTCCTCTATATATATATATTGGGTGGTCATGCGGGATAAACAAAAGAAAACTATTATACACGCAGATAATGATAAGTTTTTTAGTATATACATATTAAAGAAGTGAGTTGGAGTTATTTAGGTGACGGGAAAAAACTTCTCCTACCCTACSTGTGGAGAATCTAAATGGAGATTCATCCTCGTTAGGCGGATCCCGTAGTGAAAATGGACATCCCAGTTACCAAACACTCTAAATTTTTGAACAAATACTTTTGCCTCTTTAAAATCAAGTTAACCCAAATAGTGTTTAATACATACAACATCAATTACCTCAATGATTCAATCCCTACCTCACCCTTGATGAACTCAAAATGGATCGATATTAATGGAGATCCTTAMAAAAATCATGAAAATTAGGAAATCTACCCACACAACTAAACCATCTGAATTAAAGTTAAACTATRGATTTAGTTGATAAACTTTGATGATTATGGCGGTTTMGTTGTTAAGATTTAAAAGTTTCGATTATATTCATGAYCTTTAAAGGTTAAAAGATGAACCAGAGTTAATATATTTTAGTTTAACCTTCTTATTTTATTTCAATATTTCAATGTTAATAATTATTTTAAAGATAAAAAGTTGTTAATATTTCGGTGGAGAAAATAAAAAGTTTATAATTTTAATTGAAACTTTTTAGAGCTTAAGCTCCGTTTGGAATATGTGATTATATGAGAATCCTAATCGTTTTTCATATTTGATGAGAAATAATTATAGATGAATCCACTTGCAATCGCTTTTTGTAAAATGATGTTCATTTACAAAATCTGTTTACCACTGGTTTTTAGGATTTTTTAAAAATAATGTTTTCTATTAAACTAATTCTATATCCACCAAACTATTTCTARAGTTAAGTGACGTATGCCACTACCGATTTTCTAGTTGGATGTTCACCCGATATGTTAGAATTAAAAGGAAAAAGAAAACGAAACTAAAGAAAACTCATGACCTCTTGATCAAATATAGAAACTCATTNAGTTGGATGTTCACCCGATATGTTAGAATTAAAAGGAAAAAGAAAACGAAACTAAAGAAAACTCATGACCTCTTGATCAAATATAGAAACTCATTAGTGTTGAGTTAAGCTTATATTGTCGAATAAATTTAACATTGATTTTATATATTGTATCTTTTACATCGAATTGAATATTCTAACACAATCATTTTGTTTTAAATTATACCATGATTTTTTATAAAAAAATTTAACAATCGTTTATAATTATAAACTTAAGTTGAAACCATATAAAACTTTAAATAATAATTATCTTTAAAAATGGTATACAATTATCAATAATAAATTTGTGTACTGTCTATTTTAGTCCTTATAACTAGTATTAATTTAACGAACATCATATCCTACGTTTTGAAATCTTAAACTAAGCTAAGACGGAGAGTTAGGGCTAAATTTGTAATTTGGACATTATTTGTCTTGTAACCAAATTGTTTGATTTATGAATTGTTCTCTTACCATCTTTGTTTGCTCGAGTTAGGTGATTTCACATCGATCTTTAGGTTTATTAGTTGATTAGAGGTTTGTTCAGCTTAAGTTCTTTACCAATTCGGCATTTTTAGGGTTTGGATAGTTTTCTATGAGGGGATTCAAAGCTTTATAAACTGCAAGCTTTTACGCTGCCTTCTAAGAGATGATTACGAAGATAAATTTTGTTATTCCTTCCAAGTATTTTGGTGCGGAAACCATTGAGACCTGAAGAGGCTTTATAGAGGCCCGCTGGTGCAATCTCTTTTATTCATTCTTAAGAAAAACTTCAAGACTAGTTGAGTTGTTTTCCTCACATGGTGTTCAGTTTTCCGTTTATAAATCCTTTGAGAGCAATTTCATATGTGGGGCTGTGAATTTCCATTTTTCTTTTAGCTGCATTCCTTACCAAGATTGTTATATATACTGTGAATTGGAAAGGGAATGGGAATGTAAATCGTAATTAAAATTTAATATCGTAAGTTTTTATTTTTARTAAAATTTTATAATTAAAAACATGTTAAAGCCCTTTCACTTCCCTTCGGCCCATTGGTACCCAAACCCAACAACCAATTTACTTTTAAATTCTATCAAATCTCAGCCAACCGAAATTTCTGTCTCTCTAATCCACACCGTTCGTTCGCCTTCTTAGTTCTTCCCATCCCACGCCCTAATTTCTTCTCCTTCTTCTTCTCAATTGCTTCTCACGACCAGGTGAGTAAAAAAGCCCTACATTTTTTTTTTGTTTGTTTGTGAATCGAAACTTTCGATTCGTTCCATTTCTTACGGTTCTATCATTTGAAACCTGGGATACACTAAATTTGCGATTCAAAACACGATTTGAATCGTTTTGCCTTGTGCGTATCGTACGTTTTTAACAACATTGTTCCTTACCTTTCTTCTTTCCGCTGATTTYTTGCTACAACTTACTTAATTAGTGTTCTATGTTAAAAAATAATGCTTATGACCGAAATATTTTTACTTTTAGGACTGCATTCTATATCTTATTTTTGACTCTCAGGATGGGAATAGTTGAAACTTTCATTTCCCATGTTTATCAATGTCACAATGTGTATTTTCTTACAACTATTTAGCCTATACAGCAGTTTCTCTGGATCATGATGTTCTTTAGGATGTAGCACATTCTCTTTCGTGAGATTATGTTGTTATGGTTGTAATAATTTTTAACTATGTGCTTATGGTCATATATTTTTCATGTATTTTCAGCATCACTCCGAGGACGACGCTGAAAATCAATCCCTAATTACAAGATGAGGTAGGTATTTCCATTATTTTTTTATGTTGATTTGGCAATCTCAGTCTGTCACTTACTAATGGCTTTCACGTTCTCCTTTTTTCWTTTTTCTCTTCTTGCAGCCGACCAATGGAGGAAGATGTAAGTTTCTTCGGTCTTTTATGCTTACACTTTAAGTACTTTCATCCAATACATGTTAAATTGGTTCAGATTTTGTCTTATGCTCAAGTGAGTTTGTGAATCATGTCTCACTCTCGCGACATTATAAAAGGTTTTCTTTGTATAATATAAATTGAATTGAATACCATTTTATTAGTTTATTCAAAATCTAACATTTTAYTAGTCGACTTTTGGTGCATAGAAGTTAAAAATGAGATATTTTGAATTTCTAGCCTGAAGTAATTTTTTGAAGTTATGATTTAAAAAGTTCACATGCATTTTGTTGTTTTGTTTGGACTAGGAAGGTTAAATAATTGTCATAAGTAAGTAAAAGATCTTATTTCCTATGTCCCCTTTGTATATTACATGTTCGTATATTATGTGACCGTGATGTTGTATCATCCAATCATTTATTTCTACACTGTAAGTATGCCAATAAGCTGCTCAAGTTTGTTATGACTTATGAGTATGGAGTATCTTGAATTTTTGCTATCTTTTGGGTGTTTGTGTCGGAAAGAAGCAACATGATTTTTAAGACAAGTTCTATACCTTTAGGAGTAAAACTGATGACCTGTGTAGATTCTGTTCCGTTTTGTTTTTTACTTTGTTTGGATGGTTGATGACTTGATTCTTGTAATTGTTTTTATTTCTGTTTGATGATTGTTTACCATCTTAGTCTTTTGCAATCTAKTTATTGAAAAGGTTATATTTATAATAGAAAAAGGGATAACTATGACATTTCCTTAAAGCTTGTTTCTTGTAACTTTTTATGACTATATTGGCTCTGTTTCCCCATTTCACTCCTAGTGTTAACTCTATGTTTTGTTATTATAGTAGCCTTTCTTATCTTTCCGATCCCCCTTCCCCTATGTGTTCCTTTGGGGTTATACTACTACAAAGTACCTTGACTCCTATTATGGTCTGTTTATTTTTCAACTTTGAGGCTGACTGCAGTGTTACTAGAAGCACCATTAGRAAAGTACTTACTTTGCATCTCTGCAGGCTACTACTAAGAATGAGGAAGAGGAATTCAACACTGGTCCACTTTCTGTTCTCATGATGAGTGTTAAAAACAACACTCAGGTATGTGTTTTATTTGTATGTGGACTATGTGTTCAACCGTTGTGCCTTGCAACTTTGACAAGCATAAATTTTAAGGCAAAAACTCTTTTTGTGAATWTCTTTTTGACCTTCTTGACAGGTCCTCATAAATTGTCGCAACAACAAAAAGCTATTGGGACGTGTAAGGGCCTTCGACCGGCATTGTAATATGGTTCTGGAAAATGTTAGAGAGATGTGGACCGAGGTTTGTGTTGTTCATTTGTGCTCAACTCTTTTCCTTGCTTTGTATGGACACRAGAATTACACATCTCATGTATTATTTCTATGACTAGGTACCAAAAACTGGGAAGGGCAAGAAAAAAGCTCAACCTGTTAACAAGGACAGATTCATCAGTAAGATGTTCCTGAGAGGAGATTCCGTCATTATCGTTCTTAGGAATCCCAAGTAAGAAAAGCTGGCTATCTCATAATATGTTCAGTTTGAATTCTTCTATCAGACTCCTTACGCTTGCTGATGAGAAACTACAAACTTTCATTTGATAGTCTAACCTTCTGCCAAGTTTGTTTGGAGCTATGTTAGTTGTAGTTCTTTTGAATTTCTCTCTTTTGTTTCCAAGCCGTTTGCCAAATAGTGTAACTATAGAACTCCATGAAGTGTATCAGTYAGGTGTCAGAGATTGTTGAGTAAAAATCAGATACTTCCTGCAATATTTGTGCTTTAACGTGTGTAGCAGCCTTGGTTAAGGACGTCATTTTGTTTTGTTCGACAAGTGATATTATCTTTCAGAATTATGAGAATCCGGGCTTGGAAGATAA